ATGTACAGAGTATAAAAATTGTATTCTACCTATAAGTAAAATAGATGGTGCTTCCATGAAAGACTTATAAACATTGCGCCAATATTTGTATACAGTTTTTTATATGTATATTTTAACCCTATCGCGATGAAGTTTTCGTCAGAGCGGGGCGACTTGTTTGAACTACAATTTGCAAACTAGCGCGAAATTCGAGCACTTTGGCAGCATTTAAAACAAATTGAGTCATTGGCTTGCTTTTATTTATTTCTTTGTAGCCGAATTTACGTTTCCTTCATCGAGTTGAGGTTAATATGCATATATTCCTATATTTCTATATTCCCTCCATTGTGTCGCACAACACAATATTTTTTCCTCCATGTACACTACTTTTCAATCTGGTTTTTCATTAGGAAATACAGAAATACATTTATTTTATAATATGTTTTTTCATATTTGTGTCCTGTCTTTTCCCCTAGCTTTAATTGACCCTAAATTTTTTTTAGTTTTTTAGTTTTTTTTTTAGTTTGGCTCTAAAATATCTAGACAATTGTAGTATCTTATCTTGTAATTATCTTAGAACTTCATCAGAACATTACTCACATCTATTAAATAATTTACAATTATAATTATAATTTTTACAATTTACCTTACACTTTTCAGTGAAGGGTATACAGAACTCTTAGAAATTTATTGTTAATTATTACCTTAATATATAATTGTTACCATCAGAATACCTGCTTAAAACGATGTCTATTGTTAAGATCCTTGTCAGTCTAACTTTAAAATAACAAAAATGAACATTATAAGCTCCTTGCCAGTCTAAAAATCTGTTTGGGCTTCACGCTTCGTATAGAGTTTATATAACATTTCATCGTCATACCATATAAGATTTTCGTCAGCATAATCAGTAGCCAATAGCGATTTAATGTGCAGCTGAAGTTTATTAGCAGGTAATCTGTTATAAAGGCTTTTCTGTTTGGGCCTGATAAAACAAATGAACAGAATTATTGTTTGATTTATAATGCAAAAGTGCTTGTATTGACTACCGTACAAGTATATATTGTTAAATACCTGTAGGGATAATCATGGCAAATCCAATTGCTTCCAGAACTTAGATGAACTAGCTTTGGAGCACGAGTGCAAAGACTTATACTACATATGTATTAGTCTTGAAGGCTTGATGTTTAAACAACAATAATCTTTGCGAAAATCTATAAACGTCTATAAACTTGTTCTACAAGTGATAGTTCAAGGCAAAAACCAGAGTATAGAAATATCTGACATACTCCTGTGATATAAAAAAAGACCTAAAAGTCTTTTATTGTAAACAGCGTGAAGTGCTAAAAGTAAATATTTACTCTAGTAGGTAAGCATAAGTATGTGATATTTTCAACATAAAATGAACAATCATGTGAGATATGTATAGTATGAAGTGCGTCGCTGATTGAACTGATGTGGCTGCCGTTTCAATCATTTATGATCAAAGGCAAAATAATGTATATAATGATGGGTCCGGTAGGTTCTTAAGCAAAAATTTACAAATAAATAAAAACTCAGTAGGTTTGTTTAGTATTGGACCTAATTATTGTTTATGGATAGCAATAAACCTATGGTGATTAGCGCCAATTAATTGTAAATCAGCTCAAGATTTTAGTAATCAAGCTGTTCTTCTATTTTGGTTTAGTCTGACACTATATACAAGTATGTAAGTGCATTGTAATAATAAGGAAAAATGTTGGCCTGTATGCCATTAGAGTAAATGTGTTCTACGAACTTGATTTTTAGTGATCGACTCATACCCGTACAATACAGCTGGAAATTTGTTTTGCCAGAATTATGGTTAGATTATTAGTTAATGCTCGTACCTTTAGTTCGGGTTTTCCACCGCTCCGCTATCTTCGATTGTAAACTCCGAGTATTCTGGACTATGGCAGCGTTATAATGACTACCTACTACATGGAATTGCGAAATTTGCAATTAGATTGTGTGTTTCGAGTTAATCTAAAACAGTCGTCTCTTAAGTAAAGTAAACACAATATACTATATACTATAGTAGGCCCAGTAAATCAGAAAATGTGTATGCGTGTGTGTTTTGATAAGCTCTTAGAGGACTGTAAATGTATTGTTTGTGGTGGGTGAAATTGTTAGTTATAGTTAATTAGTTTAGCTGTATTAGTTATCGGCCAATAGCAAATACCTTGTAGTTTTTATATATAACTTTGTAGTATAGGTGGGGAATAAGAAAAGCTGAAGATAAAGAGAGGCGGCCGGCAAACGAAGCAAATTTCCATTTATTAAATGGTCAAAAGCGGTGTTGGGAGCTCGAAAAGGTGACAACAGAAACAACTTAAACGGAGGCTAGCCGACTAAGTACAACAAATACAACATCAAAGACGACTAAGGCAGGCCGATTGTCCAGGTCCAGTCAGTTAGACAGACGACGAAGATGTCGATGCTGAACCTGAAAAACAAGCCAGAGATTTGTAGTGCCCGAAACGAGTGTAACAGGTAGTCGAGCCATAAATTTTCTGTCTACATACATATGTATGTATATATATCGTAAATAAATGTAGCTATATAGCTATAGACATAGCATAAGCCATAAGCAATACCAATACCCTGAGCCACAAGCCAAGCGCGATTAATATATGAGGGCAAGCAGTCGGGAAGAGTCACTGATTGAGCGTTAAATGTAGGTACATACATGTGTATGTAAGTATGTATGTATTGTATATCGATGGCATAGATCGAACGTATAACAATGTTATGCTGTAGGTATCGCCCAAAGTGCCAAACGTAATTGTGTGTGTGTGTGTGTGTGTGTATATCTGTGAGCTAGTCGCTAGGTTAGGGTAGACGTGCAGCGTTGCAGGCAGCGAAGCAACAAGGCGACGAGGCAGCTAGGCAGCCCGGCAGGCAGGCAGGCAGGCAAGGGGCAGTACCTGAAAATACCTGAGTGTGAGCACATTTGGTAATTGTTTGAAATTATCAGCGTTGCGTCGTCGCACAGGTAGATTCAATTTGAAGCTACGGAATGCAAAGAAAGCAAAGATAAAATACAATTTCTTCATTCTTTTATCATACCAACAGACGTATTTGTATGTACTTGTAGGTATGCTGTCACACCATGGATATTGTACAGACAAACTATACGTCAATATGCATGCACTTACATACATATATATACATACATACATATGTAGTACATACATACATACGAGTATCTCAAGTAGGAGCTGCTTTTGCTAAAGCTGCAGGCCAGCCAAACGTCAGGCGTTCAAAAGGGGGGACCGCGAAATTCCAAGAATTATTACCATAAATATTATTTACATACATACATATATGCATATGCACTTGTGTAAGTTAACTCGCAGCCTCAGTTTGAATTATGGTTGCAGCAATATATATGCAGCGGTGGCGATAATGGCGTTGCCAGGTAGTCTCATAATTTAAAGAAAGCCTGCAAAAAGTTTCAGGTGGGGCTACAGTTATACATGCAGCACATACATGTGTATGTATGTAAGCAGAAAATATTAATAGAATACTAAACTATTGAACAATGAGATGAACTGTTATTATTTCTTTCTATTCGTTTAAGAAAAGCTGAGGTTTTTATTTTTGGTTTAGAAAATGCAAAGCAATGAAATGTTGCAGGTTTAACTTGATTCGCGATTATCGATATATGTACATATGTACATATACTATGTAGAACTATTTAAACTTTTATTAAATCTTTGTTTTCCCCTTAAATTTATGATACACCCTATTATTTATTATCAATTATCAAACCCCTACTAAACAATGGATTGTCACTATAAGTCCTTCTTTATTATTAATAACTACAGTTTTTATATACGTATATTTTTATTGCCGGAACCTGCAAAAGCAGTCCAATTTACCCAACTTATCTCACCTAAGATTTATATACTAACCATTTTCCTAGCAAGAATAATATAATTTATCTTTCAGTTCCACAGCCTTATAGCAGGTAGTGGCATAGAATTGCGGCTTATCGTCTCCAATAACAAACAAATAATGTTTTACATTTTTAATATAGACGTTATTGTATATTACGAAACACATTATTTTAAATGTTTTACTAAATTGTAAGTCTATTTTATGAAGATAAATCAAAGGAGAAAAAAAAGTCAGTAAATAAATAGAATTTTTACGAATTTCTTAGTTCTTTTCCATTTCTTAGCCTATCTGTGCCACAAAGAAAAATAGATTTCTTTCCTACCATATCCCATACTGTGATTATTTTAGGCTAATAATTGAATAAGTCTTAAATTCTTTATTTTTGGCAAATGCGAAAGTACGGAGGTGGCAGCACTGAGTCATTTTGGCCTTATATTTTTGGCTAACTCTGAAGCCGCTGTCACCAACATAGCGTTAACGCCAACGCCGTCCATAACCAGCCAAAAAACCCCGTTCACATCTGTGTGCACGCGCATAAGCCTGTGTGCGTGCTTATCTGTGTACGCTGCCACGATTCAAGACTCAAGAGACCTGCATGAAACGCAGCTTCTGTTCACTGCAGACTACTATGGCCACTAAATCATGTTTATGGGTATAGACATGCTCAGCAGAGCAGCTTAACAGGTTTGGAGTCGAATCGAATCGAGCCGAGTCGAGTCGGAGCAGAGCTGTTGCCGTCGAAACAGAGAAGCAAAAGGCTGAGTGTAAATCGTTCGTGTCTGTGTGACTGCGCATGTGTGTGTGTGTACGTGCGCACTCAAACAAGATCCACCCCACAGAATGTTTAGATGTTACCTGCCTTGTCAGTCAACCAAGCTCACAAATACATGCACAAAATAAAATGTATATGCATGTGTGCTCACAGACACAGGCGCAGAATGAGCGCTGAGCGTTTCATGGACTGTCGAACGGTGTCGTCGCGATACCGAAAACGACTCAACCACCACGACTCTCCGGCCTTGCCTTAGCATTTCAGACTTTGTTTGATAGCCCAAACTTTTGTCTCAGTTCCATACGAACAGTTTGAATTTTCTACCCGAAGAGTGCGCTTAGTGCCCGCTGCTGTGACGGCGTTTATTCTTGTCTGTAGTGTGTGCACCGTGGGCAAAAATACTGTTACTGATACTGATACAGATACAGCGGCCGTCGCTTGAGTTTGAGTTTCATGTCGGTTAATACTCAGAGCGCGACATAGACATAGAGAAGGAGACGACGACGACGACGACGTAGACGACGACGACGACGCATCGTCAACGCCGTGGCCCGAAACTAAAACCGAACCGATCCGATCCGATCAGATCCGATCGAGCTCACTAGGGGGAACAGCACCGCTCCATCAGAGCCCCCAAAAACAGCAACGGCAACGGCAACGACTACAGTCGCGAGTGAATTCGCTTTGGTGCGCTCCGGCTGCTGCAACGGCAGCAACAGCAACAGCAACAGCAACAACAACAACAACAACAACATCGACCACCACTGACATCTGTTTGGTGTGGAGAATTTTCGTTTGCATTGGCCGCTAATTTAGTATTTTGTTTAGTTTTGTTTTTTTTTTTTGTTTTGTTTTTACTGTAACTTTGGTTGTGTGTTTGGCGACTACGCTGGCTCTCTTGATGTGCATTCGTGTATCAGAAACTGAAGAGTTATGTTGGACAAGTGATAGCGGTCGAATCGTGTGACAGGAACGTGCGCGGCAACACAACATAACACAACACAAATACCAATACCAACAACAACACCAACAACAGTAAACTACAACAACAACAACAGCAGCAACAAGAAAAACAAAAGCAATTAACAATCGCATGATTCTATAGAAGAAATCCTCATCGAGTTCCGGAATTTCAACAATCATCTGTAACACCCACCGTTGACGAAGTCCCAGATCTTAAAATCAACGCCACAATCAAAACTGCCGAGACTGCCGCAAAATGTTTGATGTGTTCGGCTCCGTGAAGGGGCTGCTGAAGATCGATCAGGTCTGCATTGACAACAATGTATTTCGCATGCACTATAAGGCGACGGTGATCATACTGATCGCCTTCTCGCTGCTGGTCACCTCGCGTCAATATATTGGTGATCCGATCGATTGCATTGTCGATGAGATACCATTGGGCGTAATGGACACCTATTGCTGGATTTACTCCACATTCACTGTGCCGGAACGTCTAACCGGTATTACTGGACGCGACGTTGTCCAGCCCGGCGTGGGATCTCATGTGGATGGCGAAGACGAGGTCAAATACCATAAATACTATCAGTGGGTGTGCTTCGTGCTCTTCTTCCAGGCCATATTGTTCTATGTGCCACGATATCTGTGGAAATCATGGGAGGGCGGTCGCCTCAAGATGCTCGTTATGGATCTCAATAGCCCCATTGTCAACGAGGAGTCGAAAAACGATCGCAAGAAAATTCTCGTCGAGTATTTCATGGGTAATCTGAACCGCCACAATTTCTATGCGTTCCGTTTCTTTGTCTGCGAAGCGCTCAACTTTATCAATGTGATTGGACAAATCTATTTTGTGGATTTCTTTTTGGATGGCGAGTTCACCACCTACGGTCGGGATGTGCTCAAGTTCACCGAAATGGAGCCAGAAGAACGCATTGATCCCATGGCGCGTGTCTTCCCTAAGGTCACCAAATGCACATTCCACAAATACGGTCCATCGGGCACCGTGCAGAAGTTTGATGGCCTCTGCGTGCTGCCGCTAAACATTGTGAACGAGAAGATTTATGTGTTCCTGTGGTTCTGGTTCATCATTCTCAGCATATTATCAGGTATCTCCCTGGTCTATCGTATCGCTGTCGTCGTGGGACCTAAGCTTCGTCACCTTCTTCTGCGTGCCCGCTCACGTCTTGCCGAGAGCGATGAGGTGGAAAATGTGGCAAACAAGTGTAACATTGGCGACTGGTTCCTGCTGTACCAGCTCGGCAAAAACATCGACCCGCTGATCTACAAGGAGGTTATAGGCGATCTGTCCCGTGAAATGGGCGGCGATGTACAGAGCCAGCACAAGCAACCCTTTGAAGCCTAAAGTGGGGAACCGGGAAGCGAGGCCGTAAGTTCTGCAGCGAGCAAGGAATTTTACTTTTGATCTATAGCATAAATATGGGCGGCGATGGCGCACGGGGAGGGGGCAATTGATCTTAGCCAACGAGTTGTAGAATTTCCCAATATCAACGCACATACAAACAAACAAACAAGCATACAGACACAGATACGCACACACACACACACACACCCCACACACATACACGCACTTCCACTACCACATATGTACATACCATGTGTACATCCATTTTGATGATGATGCTGCCGATGATGATGTTGATGATGATGATCATGAAGAATCGTTGATGATCGTTGCGCTGATGTTGGAATGGCATGAAAAAGACATTAGCTCATAAAACTACTTAGCATTTAGCTCTAATTAAATTTACGCATGTAAACAATTTTTTTTCGTAATTTTATTTGATAAACATAAAATTTATGTGCTTTAGTTTCGATGTTAGTTACGCCAATTTAATTATTTTTTTGATTAACGAACGAACTACGAGCAAACTGAACTACGATAAAAACGCATTAAAATTAAAAAATTAAAGAAATTATAAAAAACAAACACACACATACTCACACACTGCAATTCTTTCAAATATTCAAATATTACTTTTGAGCGAAAGCAAGAAAAGAAAAATGGTTGTTACTTTTGAGTGCAAGCTCCTGCACCACCCACAGCGATGCTGAGTGGGAGAGTAAGAGAGAGCCAGAGGAAGAGCAAAAGCAAAAGCAAGAGCAAGAGCAAGAGCTGTTCGTGCCCTGCTGGAATTACGCAAAGCCATACGTACGCACTCGCAAACGTTCACGCACACGCACATGCGCACGCTCTCACACAACAACACAACACACGCAGTCGCTGCAAACTTTGGAAGCGACGTTCATGTCGAGAGCGCTCATTTAAGCGTAACGCCAGTAAGCAGTCAAGTAGCTTCCAGCATGCACAGCCGGTTTTGTGGCACACACACACAGACACACATTTATACACTTACATGTTTGTACGCACAAGCGAGACAACTATAGGACAGGCAGTCCGGGGCGCAGGCGCATTGTGTCTTCTGCCCTATGCTGCCCGCTACAGTGCTTACTGCCAGTTAGCGAATAGAAGGAAACGAAACAGAGGAAACAGTGCAGGGAAGCTTGCAGCTTGCAGCAATCTAAAAACTGGTTTAACGACAAAACCAACACCAATACCTACACGAACACCAGCAGTCAAACCCAAACTCAAGTTCAGGGCACAAATTGAAATAAAAGCCAATGCGTCGAAACCTGAGCAATGCCAGCTAAGCTGTGACTCTTCTTCTACATCTTTTCACACAAACATTTTTCGTTACCTTCTGCGGCTCTGTGCGAGGCGAGGCGAGGCGAGGCAAGGAACCTTATCAAAATGCTTTCTCTTGTCTATGATAAAATATGGTAATTATCAAACATAATGACTGCAACTACAATTGCCCGCCATAAATGCTAAATGATAAGAAAGAAAACATACACACACACACGCACACACACTACCATGGACAGACAGACAGACATAGGCACATTTTCGTAGTTGGTTTTTAATCTTGTGCCCCGCACACGCAATAGTAGTTTGTCAATTGTCTTCATTTATTTTTTAGTCAGTTGTGTTTATCGTGTGCTGTTGTTCTTTTTTGTTTCAAGATATATGAATGTATGTAGTACAATACTTGAATGTGCCAGTTTGTACAACATTATCTTATCATATAAGTTAGACAGGCAGGTGGGAAGGTAGGCAGGTAGGCAGCGAATGGCGTCTACGACACATACTCTTGCTTTTAACTATGCCGATATTCATATTTTAGAATATGGTCTGATTCAAGGCAGATTTGAAGAAGTATTGTAAAATAGTTCCAACTACATAGATGGCTATAATCAAGAGCTTGAAAGCTATGCACAGCGCCGGCCGGAACTCTTTACTACACATAGTGATTAACGATGCCAGCGACATTTTTTTTTTTAAACTATTGAGTGCAATGATAAAACATTCTTCAGATTCTCAAAGGAAACGACTAGAGCACCCTTTTGTGGAATTTTCAATTAAGAAGCTTAAAATGATCTTGAACATATGTACGTGCGTAAGTATACATACTTATACATATGTATGTATGTACAAGTATATGAATGTATATTTATATGTTTACGTACGATATATAGTATCTCAAAGTTGTGTTTGGGCGCTGATACTCGAGATAATGTCGAGAATGTGATGTGCGTCAATAAAGTCGCCTGCTGTGAGCCATTTTGTCATTGAGCATTGGGCGGTATTGTAAGCGATAAAGTGTTGTAATTAGCACACACACACACACACATACTTATATATACATACATACACATGTTAATACATGCGTACATACTTGTTCATACTCAAGAGGGCAGCCTTTTAAGTTTCTACAAAAATTATCAAAATATTTTACTTCAGTTCGTGCTACTACATTTTTTCTTAGACTTAGGTGTTGATAGTTTGTAGAAGAGAAAAAAGGAGAAAATAACAAATAAAATCCTAAAAGTATTCGCACAATAAAATTCTAGGCCAATGCAAACAAAATAAATATGTCAGGTAAATAGCAGATCTTGAATTGATTCGATTCCTATTTAAATCTATTTAAAACTCTTCGGACTGCCCACGTTTATGCGAACAGCCTCAACTGATCGCGATCGGCGGCGACGATGACACGGTCACATTTTGTTACAGCTAGTTAATTAATGAAACAGACAATTTGCTTGTATTTTTGTGGAGCTGCTCAGCCACAGCCTCATGAAGCTCGGCAACATCATCATCACCAGCAACATCGGGCACATGATAATCAAGCCCCATGACTGCCAATTTGAGGTATCAATGAAAGGTCTGGTACATGAATGAACCAGCTCTTAAGCCAGGGGGCATCGGGGACTGCTGATCAAGTTAGACACGCGAATAACGAAAACGAAAACAAACTATAGAGTGAACTGTCCTATTGTCTGTATACGTATTATCTTATGTGTTGTAGTTATTGTTTTTAAAGCGCTTATATACACATACATATGTAATAAGTAGGTAGCACGCACAATATTGGCGCGCTTAGCTCGTCCCACAACAACTATACATCCATATACGAGAATAGGCGGCTTTCATTGTGCGATATCGTACATGCTCTTTTAATTGCATTAATTACATTCAATTAGCAAAAACGAAGAATTTAAGAATTGGACGTAAGAAACAAATACAGCTATAGAAACTATATAATTGTCTTGAAAGTGGCACAACAATAACAATGGCTTACAGTTTAAGTGCGAAATTATTGCGTATACGACGTGTTAACTATTTGCACAACTGAGCGTATGAAGAACTTTTCAACAGCTCAGCTGTTTTCTATTTCAGCTCAAAAACAAAAACATTGTATCCCAATGACTAATTGACCAATTGATTTCAGACCAAATGTGCATAAGTTGCAAGGCATTTAATTAAAATTGAGTTTCGCTTCTAATTCTTTCATACATACCCATGAGCAATACAGGAATGCATTCGGAAAAAAAAAATCACACTCATTGTGCTAAAATCAAATGATCATTGGACTCAACATGAGCCCAAAGAAGGCATCCTTCATGGAGTGCGAATTAATAAATTAAGCAACTTTGTGAACTTTCCAAAAACAAAATTAATTTAATTCATTCAACAAAAATGTGCTTCATGGATTTGAACAGAAACAAATCTGTCCAAAAATAATATAGAATCAGTTTTGTGAATGTTATTATAAATGTGTTGGAAAAAAAGTTAGAAAAAAATTCATTTTCTTCGGATAAGCTTAAAACAAATATTGGGAAAATTCTAAATGATGTAAACCAATGTTTCAGAGTTTGAGAAATTTTCATTGTTGCTTAAGACATTCTCGTAAAATAGCGTATGCTCATCTTTTATTTACACAATCGTTGTAAATGCTCTTAAGGAGCTCAGCAGCTTTATACAAATTGACTTAATTGTACGCAAATTTTTTTCAACTAAGAACATAAAATGTTGAGGGAAATAAAACTTAAACCCGATCGACAGTCTCGAATAACCCCCTTATACACGATATCACTCATAAAGAGATGAAAACAAATAAAAAAAATGTTAGCATCTGAAACGCTTAACGCTTCAATATTTCGCTCGCCCCCGCCATCGTTTAATTGCCAAATGTTGCACGCCCCTTATGATTAATTAAAGGCATTCCATACTTAAGAAAATATTTTTGTTTCTTTTTCATTTCATTGCAGTTGTACGTAGTGTACTTGGGCGTACTCGAAGCAAAAAGACGATCTACACACAATACATATCAGCATAATTTATTGTGAGCATTTTGTTATTGAATTGATAATTGATTTGTGCCACGTGAAGAGAAACCCAATTTTGTCCGATATTCTAGAACTGGCTGCAGTCCGAACCTACGACAATCACTTGATCCGTGCATAGTTTGGCAAGGTGTTCAAATACGATAATAGATACAACACAGCGTGTACGTACGTATGTAGTTGTATATATGGCGCCCATGTCAGAGTGTGCATGTTTCATTATTATTTTAATTTGATTTTTTTTTGTTTGTTTTGAATACACAATAATATCGATTTACGATTTTTAATGAATATACTAAACTACTTATTTTACCACCTTATACAAGTATGTACTACATTCATATGCCACATGCGATTAATATTTATGCTAAGAGTTGTGATCATTGATTAAGAATTTTATGAATTACGAATTAAAGACATGCAAGAAAGCAAAAAACAAAAGAAAATATATACAATAACATACAAATACAAAATATAGTAAACGATTGCTTTTAGTACCAGAGCGCTAATTGCGAAATGCCAACGTATTATTAAAAAAAAAAGACAACAAAACAAAAAGACAAAACAACAAAAAAGGATTATGAAATATTTAATTTTAATAAATGAAAAAAATATTACTTTTATTTAGCAATTTTCGCCGCAATTTTTTTGTCGTATTTTCTGTAGCATTTATTTAGATTGTAGCCATTTAAGTATAGCGCAATTTTTTTTTGTTCAAATCAAATCATAAATACTATTTATAAATTGTATACAATTAACGAAACTATATACATACATGCATAAATACATACATTCCATACATATATATTTTTATAGAAATTTATGCAATTATAAAACTTTTAAAATATTTTTGTAAAATGTAAAATATTTTCTAAAGCAATGCATATTTTAGCTGTAAAAATGAAAGACTCAAAAGCAATATTTAAAATGAAAGACAAAAACTAAAAGGAGCATAAAATAAATGTGCATATGCAGCAATTTTTCGCTGCTACTACATTGCAATTTCATATAAAAATATACAACAACAAAAATATATACACATATATATATATATATATTTTTAAATACGAGCCATTATATTTAAAAGGCAAGCTACTAGTTTCTAATACGAAAAAAGGAAATCAAAACAATCAGATTTTAATTCCATTAATTTTACAATTGATTCATTTTTTTTTTTGTATTGTTCTTGAAGCCGTACATTTGAATAAAGAGAAAGAACAACAATTTAATTTCATCAACAAAATGAATGGTTTATTTCTATCTACTAGTATGTACATGTGCGTGTCTGCTGTGCTTCTATCTAACATCCATCAACAGAGATCCATATCACATGGCTTTCACATCCAAATAGACGTCGCCAGCAATGTTTAGAACTGAGCGCATGCGTCTGTGTTTGGTAAGTAAATAGCTAAGTGCCGGGGGCATGGGGGTGGGGGGTGTTGCATAGTCAGGTAAACATTTCGGTGGCCAAACAAAGGATGGTTCGTGTTACTGCAGTTGATCGCGCCAACTTACAAGAACTTTCAACAAATCTCAACAAGAACACACACACACACACGAGTTAAAGTACACATGAACATTTTTTGGACTATCAGTTTGTTGATCCAGGTCTCGACCTGGAGCAATGAACTGCTCGACAAACAACACGAACGCAAGATTAAAAGAGGCGTTGCTTGGTTCGATAAAGCGCACACCTTCAACTGCTTAACTCGCAACTCACGACACGTTCGTTTTATGTTCATCATTGATTTCGTTCTCATTGGCATAATTAATTGCCATATTTAGGTGGCACGCAGCCAAGCGTGCAACTGCAACTGGGAATTGTTTGAAACGTGTCGCTCATCAAAACAAATTACCTTTTCCTAAATCTATAAATAAAGTATACGTGTGCATGTATGTGCCATTCTCCATGTGCGGCATTCATAACATTGCAACGAAATCGGCATCAAAATCGTTCGGTCCGGTGGATGCTGCTGACTCATCTAACTCGATGCGGAAATTCCTTGGCCGTCTTTGTTACTACGCCACTTTCGATGACGTAGAGGCGGCGTGTTCGTCAATCATTAACGCTGAAATAAAGTATAACCAGTGGATGAGTCAGGCATAACGGCCAGGTTTGTCCTCTGCTGTTGAATGGAGCGGTAAGACAAAAAGCCTCTGCGCTAAAAACAACCGAAATGTTTTTGAAACCTATTTTGTTCGAAGCAGTACGTTTTCAATGCTTTAGAAAAGTCTGAAAAACTACTAAGCTTTCAATATTTTATAAAGTGTTTTAAAAATCTATAAGAATATAACAATTTTATTTTCTTTCGATTTGATAGTCTGGCTAGAGCCTCATTCTGGCCACGACTTGAATTGCTAATGCAACAGAATAAATGGACTGCAACAATTACCATAAGCTTTTCTCCAATTATAAGTGAAAAACATACATGTAAGGAGATTTTCAAAGTAAACAGGACTTTTTAAAAGTAAGAAAATATATATTTGATATTTTGAAAAAATACGTTTATTTAATTTAAAATAATCCAATCCAATTGAACCATCAAGAAGCATTTCAGACGAATGTTTTATTGAATAGGGCCTTAAAATGGCCTCGATGTCCTTATATTGCTTTCCTTTTACGGGCAAATGCAATTTTACAAAGCTTAGTAGTAACATGGAGCCGAATCAGTATATTTTTGGAATGGTTCACTTTTTTTCTTGTCAAAAATCAGTCACAAGTGTCAACGTAAGAAACATCATGAATCGTTTGGCCAGCTGGATCAAATGTCCAATAAAAAATTCCCCTTGAACCGTGGGAACAAATCAACAAATCAAACGATTTACTTTTCGATTTTGGCTCAGCTGGCTGCTTCCATTCAGCCTTTTGACGCTTAGATCATCACATCACTAGTTACTTACGTCTTTTTTGGGTCCGAAATGATGTCTTTGAAATCTTAAATTCGGAGCGAATTTTCATAATATTTCTACAGATAGCATAAACACTTTGTGTGCGTTAAGACGGCTTCTATTCATTCCATTAACACGACATTTTTAAGAGATGTCAATAAAAATAAAAAATAACAAACGCAGTCAGTCATCAATAGGTGGCGCCACTAGAAAAATTTATTTTAAATAGTCCTCTTAACTTTGGGATAAATCTTGAACACTCGTATACCAATTATTAATTATATTTATGTGTAGTTTTGGAATTTGTTCGAAAATACTGTGCTGGAATCACAGCTATAAACAATTCCCGAAGCACCCTTAAAGTTATTCGGCAACACAACTGTAGTATGAGCATTATTATATATGTATATATATATATATATATATATATATATGTGTATGTGCACACAAATGAGATAAGCTTTGGTGGCGTATAAAGTAACATCCAAGGGTGTAGCTCCAGCTACGGGCAATCAAATTACAGTTATTGCACTTGGCGCACTTATGCCAGCTGTCGGCGCTCCTGGTTCATTTTATTTACTAATAATCGTTATAAGTACCCTAGAGCGATAGAGTGGTGGATTATATGAGGCTGGTCCAAGCACTTACTCCAACAATATTTATACATACATATATTCGATGTTATATCCCATATGAACACTGAGAGCTTTTGCCCCAAAGCCGTCGAGATTGTTTCTGGACCGACTATGTACGATCGTGCTGACTTAATCCGAACTCTAAATTCATGATCAGTATTCAAGCGCAGACTTTGCTAGAGAAGTGAACAGCAGCTTAGTTTAATTTTTAGACCAAATGAAAAGGATTTGTTAGTTTCTGTAAAATATAAAATATGTACTATTTTACCTTTTAGCTCCAAAATAATTTCAAAACATCACTAGGCTCTATGCTTTTATCTAAATTTGTTGTCCTTTAGTTTTTTAAATAAGCAAGAATACCGATATTTGGATCGCAAAGGTATGCTTTTCTAAGTTGTTAACTTTTTAACGGATTGATTTACACAAATCTTAAAAAAAAGAAAAAAGAATATAATATATAATTTTTTTTGTTTAGTGCAGAGTATTCCATAGTCAGGTCCACTATTCCTTAATAAAATCACACTTTTTTGCTTCTTCAGCTAATAATAAAGATAACTTTTTTATTTAGGATTGTTTGTAAGCAAAGTGTGCCAATATTGCATTTCAAGATTGTAAACAGCTCGTCTTTCGAGTTGTCTGCAGTCTTCGGGTCTTTGGGTAGCGAGCAGGAGCGACGGCTTATTTTTTATTACCCATTGAGGGTACTTATATTTCAATTTCTTGGATTATCAGTTATAGTACATATCTTTCCCCTATTCACGTAAATGAGCTCATATTTCAAATCAAATTATTGTACCATGAGCACTAATTGTGTATGGGCTGTAGATATTATTTGCAGTCCAGACAATACATACATATGTTGGTACTATATACAAGGAAAGCGTGGCGATTCTAAAAATAATCAAACACATTGAGAGATATAGTACAAGAGCTGAGCTGGCCACACACACATACGTGTGTACATTTGTGTGCCTTACGGAGTGAAGAAATTAGCATAGAAAATTGAATTAAACGCTGCAATTGCACAAGTGCGACCTCAATAAATAAATAAATAAGTAAATATTACAGCATATAGAAAGCGAAACGCTACTGGGTATGAGTTGGGAAACTCTAACGCCCTGTTTACACTGTGTGAAATAATTGCGTGCACCTCTTTGGGTTTGGTCCCATTTCATTCAGACATGCAAGGAAATAGCTTAGTCGGTAAAACATATTGAAATGAATGTCTTATCGAACTATTACATTCACAATATAAGTATGTGGTATATTTTCATTCTATATTCTAAAATTTCTTTTGCTGAAATAATACTTTTAAGCTTCCTCTTGGGAAGATTGCTTTGCCGGAAGATATGCTTTGTGAAAAAAATTACTTGCTTTTTTAAAACTCAAATGGAAAGATTTTGTTTATTATTTGGAAATAATAAACTTATCAGAGACTTGTTTAATATTGCCTGTAGAAATCTTCTTGACAGATTCTAAATTCTAATATTGCAGTAAGAGTCGTTCTTCCCTTTCGTATAGAATCAATTTTTTTATGAACGTCTCTTACACGTGCTAAGCCGTTTGGTATGTAGGTAATGGTTTTCCAAATGGGAAGATCAGCTCTGTAGAAAGACTTTCTTAGTGAAAGTACATTTCTCATGAAAGCACTTGGAAAGACTTCTTGAGGACTTTCTCCATGAGAGGGTTCCGATGATGTGAAATCTTTTATTGTGTAGATGGGTCTTAAGTATTTGTTCAACAAGGTCCCAGACAAAGTGAAATTGCAAGTGTCTGTCGAACAGACACATTTATAAATACTAGTATTGTCATTAATTTATTTGGCATCAGAGTGCAAAATGCAATGAACGCCTAAGAAGTCGAGCCATCGGAGCTACGCCCTCCGCTCCAGCTCCGTTCCCTGCCAACACTTTGTTAATTGCATGAACAAATATTAATTGGAATGGAATTTCATTTCAACAAATTGGCAGTGCAATGCGAATGTAAACGTGTGTTTGAAGCTTGTGGAATTGAATAAAAAAAGAGACGCCGGCTACGGATATATAGGCGATAGCTAAATACCCTAAAATAAATATCTAATAACGGACAATTATTGTTAAAGCCGGTTCTTAACAATGATTATTCCAGTTAGAGGTGTGAAGAGTATCTAAATAGGTACACATTTGGAATTTTTTTTTTCAACTCAATTCTCTGTCTTATACAGATTTCTGGGGCTCTGTGTAAAGAACTGTATATTTCCTAACACTTGGATCTTAGTAGAATTATTTTTCGAGAATACAAACTAAGGTTCCAGTAAATTGAACGAAAAACAATAGTTTAATTAAGATTTCTGGAAATGACCCTAATTTTCAACGACTTCGGAATCGAAATCCCCCCTTAGTGTAAAATAATGGAAACTATTGCAGTAAGGACACACTCGTAGGTTTATGTGGATATGGATAGCTTTCTTCCATGCATTAGCAACCTGCATTATAAGTGCATAACGACCTTTAGTGAAGCGCTCAGTGAAGCAGAGTCCGACCTGTACTTGGACCTTGAAACTGATGCCGCTTTTAAGGT